ACTCCCGCCTAAGGCCCTAGCGAACCTATAGATCTCTCTAAGGCCAAGCTCACCTAGCGTGACCAGGGGGAGTACTTTAGATACGGATCCAAGGATCATCTAGTCCAGGACTGCCTACTACCTGACACCCGCCCCTATTCCCCTGCCCGCCTATATTCTAGCCGAATAGAGAACCCCGCCTAGGCTGACTCCGCTACCTATACTAAATCTACTAAGTCTGACTACTCTATACTCCAGCCAATAAATAGAGTAAGCCTAGCCTAAATCGCGACTAGGTGAAACCTAACCACGTGCTCCGCCTATCCGCAGCTATACTAGGAGACTCTATTGAAGAAGAGAACCTCCGCGCCGACGCTTTTATCCTGCCTATAACCCTGACCTAGAAAGAGACCCAGATCCCTATATACACTATAATAGATAGTGGTGCAGAAGGGAAGAGGTTCGTCGATAAAGATTAGGCCCGAGACCAGAGCCTTATATTCGAAACCCTGAAAGAACCTATCCACCTAGAGGCCTTCGACGGCTAAGAGCCCGAGAAGGACTATATCACCTATTTTATATAAATAAACATAAGGGTAGAGAACCACTACGAGAAGAAGGCCCTATTCCTTATCACGAAAATCGCTTACTACCCTATTATACTAGGCCTGCCTTAGCTTAAGATCCACAATCCTAGTATTTATTTCGCGAACCATACCCTCGAGCTAAATAGCCTATACTACCAGAAGTTCTGTAACACCCCTAGTAGGGCCCCGAAGATCCGAGCCCTATATGATGTCCCGAAGAAAACCCGCCCTATAAACCTGCCTGATCGCCCCTCTGTCCTAGAAGGCCTAGATATATAGTCTATAAGCCTAAGGGCCTACGCCATATACACCCGAAGCGAGAAGGGCTATCATTTGTTCTCCGCGTCTATAGAGACACTAGACGAGATACTATAACCAAAACCTGACCCTGCCCTGCCTAACGAATTTAAAGACTTTAGAGATATGTTCTCCCCTAAGGAAGCCGAACGACTGCCCCCACACCAACCTTACGACCATGATATTCGACTAATAGAGGGGAAGGCCCTACCATTTAGGCCCCTCTATGCTATATCCCGCCCTAAGCTAGAAGCTCTGAAGGAATGGATCTCCGAGAACCTAAGGAAAGGGTTTATCCGCCTAAGCTCCTCGCCTACTGCCTCGCCTATCCTATTTATGAAGAAACCTAGAGGGGGTCTCCGATTTTATATAGACTACTAAGCCCTTAACACGATCTTGGTTAAGGACCGCTATCCCCTACCCCTAACTAAAGAAACCCTAAACCAGTTAAAGGGGATAAAATACTTTACTCGCCTAGATATCATCTCTGCCTTTAATAACCTTTAGGTAAAGGAGGGGCAGGAGTACCTAATAGCGTTCTATATAAGATTAGGTCTCTATAAGAGCCTAGTAATGCTATTTAGCCTAATAGGCGCCCCTACTATATTCTAGAGATTTATCAACGATTCCCTATAAGATTACTTAGACCTGTTCTATACCATATACCTTAACAATATACTAATATATAGTTATATAAGGGAGGAACATATCGGACACGTCCATAAGGTCCTCGCCCGCCTCCGCGAAGCAGGGCTATTCGTGAAACTAGCTAAATACGAGTTCTGTGTTTCTGAGACTAAATTCCTAGGCCTGATTATAGGAGGCGAAGGAATCTGTATAGACCCTAAGAAGGTCCGGACAATCATGGACTAGAAATCGCCGACGAACACGACTAATGTCCGAGCATTCCTAGGATTTGCTGGCTTCTACCGACGCTTTATAAGAGACTTCTCGAAACTAACTACCTATATAAACGAACTCATAAAGAAGGATGTTGCCTTTAAATAGACTCCCGCCTACAAAGAAGCCTTTAAGACCCTAAAGACAGCCTTTATATCCGCCCCGATCCTAGCACTATTTAACTAGACTAAAGATATGATCCTAGAAACCAACGCGTCTGATTATATATCTATAGGCGTTATTTCCTAGTACGACGAAAAAGGAATACTATATCCTGTTGCATTCTTCTCTAAGAAGCACTCAGCAGCTAAGTATAATTACAAAATCTATAATAAGGAACTTATGGCTATCATATACTATTTCGAAGAATAGCGCCCTAAACTTAAGGGCACAACCTCCCTAATTAAGGTTATCATAGACCACCGAAACCTAGAATACTTCATAAGCACTAAGTTACTAAACCACCGATAAGCCTATTAGTCTAAGTTCCTATCCTATTTTAATTTTACGATTATCTACCGCCTAGGTAAATAAGGCGCGAAGCCTGATACACTGACCAGGAGGTTAGAAGATCTACCTAAGGAAAGGGATAAATAACTAAAGCACTAGAGTCGTATAATCCTAAAGCGCGAAAACCTAGATAGCCAGATCTAAGGAGAACTAGGAATACTGACCCCGCCTGCCTCACCACCGCCTGACTCCCCTCTAACCCTGAAACTAGACGCCCTAATAGGCCTAGAACCTAACCCACCTCCACCTAATATAGAAATAGTAAGAAGTATACACTTCGTAGATAAACTATAGCTAGAACTACCAGTCGCTATAAAGGAAGCATACAAGTCTGCCCTATAAAAAGACCAGATATTATAGTCAATCCTAAGTGCCCTAGACAAAAAGAAAACCCGGCACCTAGATATCACACTCGTGTACTACATAAGAGATAGGAACAACCTGCTATACTAAGGATGTATTTATATCCTAGATAACAATAACCTTAAAGCTGAACTAGCCCGACTCTACCATGATAACCTAGCAATAGGACACCTAGGTCGCACAAAGATATATAAGCTTATATCTCGCGAGTACTACTAGCCGAACCTCTACCGTTATATCGAGCAATAGACCAAAAACTATCATACCTATCACAGAATTACCCCATCCCAAGAAGCCCATTAAGGAGTCTTACGACTACTCCCGATCCCTGCCCACGCCTAGCTAGATCTATTAATAGACTTTATCACACACCTGCCCGAGAGCCAAGGATTTGACGCAATCTTGGTAGTAGTCTGCCGCTTAACTAAAATGAAACACTTCCTGGCCTGCCACGGGACCTATAACACTAAAGACCTCGCCTACCTATTCTTGAAACACGTCTAGAAGCTATATAGACTCCCTTATATAATTATATCTGATAGAGGCCCCTAGTTTATAAGCTAGTTCTGGAAACACCTAACGACCCGCCTAAAGACTAAGAGCCTGCTATCCACTGCCTTTCACCCAGAAACAGATAGATAGACTAAGCGAGCTAATGCTATCCTGGAACAGTACCTCCGAGCCTATATAAACTACCTACAGGACGACTAGGCTAACTAGCTTCCGCTAGCCGAATTCGCCTCTAACTCTGTATAAAGCAAGTCGACTAGCGTCACCCCATTCTTTACTAATTATAGCCAACACCTAGTCGTTGGATTCGAGCCTATCCGCCTAAGTAATCACCCCACCACCCACGATGCAGAGAGGTTCGCGGCTTATATAGAGGAGATCACAAACTTTATACAAGCCCAGATCCTGGCCGCCTAAGCTCGCCACGAAGAATTCGCCAACCGTCACCGCCAGCCTACCTAAATATTCACTAAAGGACAGAAAGTCTGGTTAGACACCCGGAACATCAAGACCCGTCGCCCCTAGAAGAAATTAGACTAGAAGAACTTAGGCCCCTTCGAAATCACCGAAGTTCTAAGCCTATACGCCTACCATTTACAGCTTCCCCCTAGAATAATGATCCACCTAGTATTTAACATCTCCTTATTACGCCCTGCCGACGACAACCCACTTCCCACGCAGCAATAAGAACCTGCCCCACCTATCGAAGTCGACGGAATCGACGAGTAGGAGGTAGAGGAGATCCTAGACTCCCGCTAGGAGAAACATGGTCGCCGGGGAACACCACGTCTAAAATACGTGGTTAAGTAGACCGGTTACAATGACCTAACTAAAGAGCCTGCTGCTTACCTAGAAAATTATAGATAGTTAGTAAAGAACTTCCACCTCCGCTACCTATCTAAGCCAGGTCCTATCTACGCCTCTACGGAGCTCGGCTCTAAGGAGGGGGATACTATCACGGTGCCAGCTCAGACGACTACTGATTGATTAGATAGTGCGGGCCACGTGACCCGCAACCTTATATAAACTCAGAACCTTATCTAAATATAGCTCTTCAAGCTACATCTTCGTCTTAGCCTATCAGTCAATGCAATACTATCTATCTAGTTCTAGTATAATTCTATTCACCTGCCCGCCCTATGACAGCAGGGCTCTAGAGTAAAGCAGCTAGATATCAAACCAGACAAAATTAGCTGGTTATTTTGCAGAAATAGCTGGTTATTTTAAAATAGATATATATACTAAGTATAAGATCTGGGCGTTAAAGACAACGAATCAGTGTTAAAAGACCCCTTAGAATCAGCTATAGAGGCCGATTTAGTGGTAGAGGAGGGTGTGAATATATTCCCTTTGATACAAATATCGCATAAGGATGCGCCTTTATATCTAAAGGAATAAGGCTATAGAACTTAACCTGATAGCCAAGTTTAACGATTTTCCCAGCTCCCTAAGGGTAGGTTGTACCTATATAACCAGTTAATAAGTTATATTAGCTAGTTAAATTGATATATAATAACTTACTATAGACACGCTGTCTTGTATCTTGTTGCTAAATAGCATCATAAGTCTCTATAGCAGGTAAGGGATTAATACCCTGAATAAGATTGTGTAAGAGTGTAAGATCAATCTTTGCCATTCTCCCACTTAAATTATGGTAATGATGGTTCGGAGTCTCTATAACCAAGACAAAATTGGCACAAGCAACATATAGAACCCGATTATAAGGAATACCCTAGATAGATATTAGTAAAATAACCGGCTATAGGTGGTAGATAACTAGCTATTAGATGATTACCTATATCAGATAGTGATATCGTAAAACAAGCTTATAGCTGGTTTCTTATGGATCATAAGCTAAATTTCTCCAATATAAGTCTCGTAATGCACAATAGACTCTATAATATAAATAAAGTTAGTAAAAGAAATAACTAGCTATTACTATAAAATAACCAGCTAATGTTCTCTAGTTTACTTACGAAATAGTCATGCGTATAGAGTCTATAGTTTGATCTTGATGATAATGGACATCAGTCCGAAGAGATTGAAGACGGTCGAATAGGGCCTCATCAGCCCTAAAATGAACCAGATCCTTTAGACATGGATCTAGATATTGGTATACCCTTACCCTAGAGCACTACATAACTCGTTTCTCAACTTTATAGCTAAGAACAGGGCTATAAATAACATGACTCCTATTACAGCGAAAATGGGAATATTGATATACATTAACTCGATTAGAGATCTTATCTTCTGGAATACCCTTAAGATCGATCAAATAAGCATAGCCTTGTTCATGTGACCGAGGATACTTAGGAAGCTCAGCAACATGTTCAAATTCCAATGCTATAAGACCACCCTTTGCTTTAATTGAAAGTGGAGTTGGTATCTATTATATTAGCCTATTAATATAATAGCTAGTTAAAGTGTAGTTTTAGCTGGTTATTTACCTTAGGTCTATCTTCTATAGTAGATCCATCTTCCACAGCAGTAAATTCCTCTCTAAGGATCGCATCCATTAGGGGAAGGGCTTCAAGGGCATCGTCGTCATTCAGCCCTAGATCATCAATATCAATATAATCCTTAATATATAAATTATCATCATTAAAAAAGGATTCCTCCATATTGGTCAGTCCTATTAGAGCTTAGTTATTAGTCATGGTAGCTAATAACTAGTTAATATACATAAATAGCCGGTTATTTACTTACCAGGAACTTAGACAGGAACTTGAATTAAAGAAAAAGATTAAAAATAGGGGGGATATAAGAAATTGAAATGAATTGTCACACGCTAGACCTAAATAGTTTTTCTCCTGTCAGTAGAACTTTTTACGCTAACCGTATTAAGAAGGTGGCAGAAAAACCTGTCAGCTGAACTTTTAGCTCCTGTCAGCTGAACTGTAGTCACGGTTATTTATTGTAAAAGGCAATTCCAATAACAAAAACACACTCTTAGAACAGAACCGACCGCCTTCCCAATTAATTGGCATCCACGTAGAACCATGTGGTGACTATAGTTCAGCTGACAGGAGCTAAAAGTTCAGCTGACAGGTTTTTCTGCCACCTTCTTAATACGGTTAGCGTAAAAAGTTCTACTGATAGGAGAAAAACTATTTAGGTCTAGCGTGTGACAATTCATTTCAATTTCTTACATCCCCCCTATTTTTAATCTTTTTCTTCAATTCAAGTTCCTGTCTAAGTTCCTGGTAAGTAAATAACCGGCTATTTATGTATATTAACTAGTTATTAGCTACCATGACTAATAACTAAGCTCTAATAGGACTGACCAATATGGAGGAATCCTTTTTCAATGATGATAATTTATATATTAAGGATTACATTGATATTGATGATCTAGGGCTGAATGACGACGATGCCCTTGAAGCCCTTCCCCTAATGGATGCGATCCTTAGAGAGGAATTTACTGCTGTGGAAGATGGATCTACTATGGAAGATAGACCTAAGGTAAATAACCAGCTAAAACTACACTTTAACTAGCTATTATATTAACAGGCTAATATAATAGATACCAACTCCACTTTCAATTAAAGCAAAGGGTGGTCTTACAGCATTAGAATTTAAACATGTTGCTGAGCTTCCTAAGTATCCTCGGTCACATGAACAAGGCTATGCTTATTTGATCGATCTTAAGGGTATTCCAGAAGATGAGATCTCTAATCGAGTTAACGCACATCAATATTCCCATTTTCGCTGTAATGGGAGTCATATTATTTATAGCCCTGTTCTTAGCTATAAAGTTGAGAAACGAGTTATGCAGTGCTCTAGGGTAAGGGGTATACCAATATCTAGATCCACGTCTAAAGGATCTGGTTCATTTTAGGGCTGATGAGGCCCTATTCGACCGTCTTCAATCTCTTCGGACTAATGTCCATTATCATCAAGATCAAACTACAGACTCTATACACATGACTATTTCGTAAGTAAACTAGAGAACATTAGCTAGTTATTTTATAGTAATAGCTAGTTATTTCTTTTACTAACTTTATTTATATTATAGAGTCTATTGTGTATTACGAGACTTATATTAGAGAAATTCAGCTTATGATCCACAAGAAACCAGCTATAAGCTTGTTTTACGATATCACCATCTAATACAGGTAATCATCTAATAGCTAGTTATCTACCACCTATAGCTGGTTATTTTACTAATATCTATCTAGGGTATTCCTCATAATCGGGTTCCATATGTTGCTTATGCCAATTTTGTCTCGGTTACAGAGACTCCGAACCATCATTACTATAATTTAAGTAGGAGAATGGCAAAGATTGATCTTACACTCTTACACAATCTTATTCAGGGTATTAATCCCTTACCTGCTACAGAGACTTATGATGCTATTTAGCAACAAGATGCAAGACAGCGTGTCTATAGTAAGTTATTATATATCAATTTAACTAGCTAATATAACTTATTAACTAGTTATATAGGTACAACCCACCCTTAGGGAGCTAGGAAAATCGTTAAACTTGGCTATCAGGTTAAGTTCTATAGCCTTATTCCTTTAGATATAAAGGCGCATCCTTATGCGATATTTATATCAAAGGGAATATATTCACACCCTCCTCCACCACTAAATCGGCCTCTATAGCTGATTCTAAGGGGTCTTTTAACACTGATTCGTCGTCTTCAACGCCCAGATCTTATACTTAGTATATATATCCATTTTAAAATAACCAGCTATTTCTGTAAAATAACTAGCTAATTTTGTCTGGTTTGATATCTAGCTGCTTTACTCCAGAGCCCTGCTATCACGGGGCGGGCAGGTGAATAGAATTATACTAGAACTAGATAGATAGTATTGCATTAACTGACAGGCTAAGACGAAGATATAGCTTAAAGAGCTATATTTAGACAAGGTTCTAAGTTTATATGAGGTTGCGGGTCACATGGCCCGCACTATCTAATCAATCAGTAGTCGTCTAAGCTGGCACCATAACAGTATCCCCCTCCTTAGAGCCGAGCTCTGTAGAGGCGTAGATAGGACCTGGCTTAGACAGGTAGCGGAGATAGAAGTTCTTTGTAACAGGTTGAATCCTGGTGAACTATCACGTGGTTGTACCACGTGACCCACCAACCGCATACCTCACGATTCCACCCCGAATTGTTCACGTTCTTCAAGGATTTTGTAAACAGCATGTGCCTAGCTAGTTCTGAATTTAAGATTAGCTTTAGCCCTTCACATACAAAATCCTTCCTCTAACGAGAGTAAAACCCACGACCGACGATAAGAAAAGCGCTCTCAGAAAGTATCTGATCGAGCCACATACGACAGACGAACGAATCGCTCTCGGAAAGAATCCGATCGAGCATACCAACGAATACGAAAAGCTCTTAGAAAGTATCTAGTTGAGCATCCTACAAACGAATTGAAGACGGAAAGCATCCGATTCAAACACGAGAAGAAAACGAATATCTTCATCATCATGGCTGCAAGCGAACCGTCGAGCCCACCCGAGTGGGCCAGGACGTTGATGCAGCACATCAGTCAGACAAGTATTAGTACCGATGAGAGAATTAGAAGACTCGAAGAATTAGTGGTTCGGTCCCAGGAGCGGGCCGCTCCCGAACCACCCACGGAACCACAAGGGATACCAATCGAATCAACCAGCGATAATAACCAGAGTCGACGACCTCGCCCTCGTCTCCCCGACCCCGCGATGTATGCAGGAAACATCTCTGATTGGCCAACCTGGAGAATCTCGATAGAGAACAAATTGCTAGTAGACGGAGCTGCCATCGGTACCCCACAAGAGCAATTCCTCTATACATTTTCCCGCCTAGAGAAAATGGCCGCCAAGAACACCGGAACGTTTGTGAAGACACAACGAAGCGAAGGCAACCCGTATATGCTTCTGGAATATCTTGAGAGGATGTATGGAGACCCTAACGCTCGATCACGAGCAGCTCGGCGTCTACATCAGCTTAAACAGAAGCCCGACCAGCCTTTTTCACGATTCCTTCCCCAGTTAGAAAGAGAGCTCGCAGATGCTGGTGCAACCGAATGGCACGACGAAGCAAAACGACAACTCTTACTAAACGCTCTTAACGAAGATATGACGAATTCGCTTATGAATCGTGGTGTTCCCTATGATTTTATAGGTCTTATCACACGGCTCCACGAAATCGACACTGATAGCGAGACACTGAATATCGCATTAGGCAGACGCCAGTTATCCACTCGCCAGCGAATCCAAAGAGATCAATCAACCATAGCCACAGAGGATAGGATGGACTGGACTCCAACAGTAAACACGAACACCACACAGACGAATTCGTCCCGATTCGTGAACGAAAAGGGACAGGTTCGTAAAGAGGATCAACATCTCGTGGGAAAACGTGCAAAATGGGTCGAGAAAGAAGAACTCCAACGTCGCCGTACAGAAAAGAGATGTCTACGATGTGGTCGAGATAACTGTTGGCAAAGTATATGCCCTTTACTGCCCGCACGGAATCCGAACCAAGTAGTGGTACGGAATGCAGTAGTCGAAGAACCAAGATCGAGCCACCCCCGAAGAAGGGAGTATTCGCCAGCGATCGAAGAAGATGAAGCGGAGAATGATTCGGGAAAAGATTAGCTCCTGCACTAAACCGCGAGCAGGAGCAGAAGGGGGTTGAGAAGCTGCTAAAGAAAGAGGCGTCATTCTATGTCGATGCTAGAGTTAATGGAATTCAATTCGCGAAGACTTTAGTAGACAACGGAAGCGATAGCTATGCATCTATCAGCGGACACCTAGCGCAATCTCTTAACCTTCCGCGTATCCCGATTCCACCGCGAATCCTGAACGGAGTCATCAAGAATCAAGGACGGATCACTCAGGCCACATACTTCGATCTTGATGTTAATGGACTACAACAGCAGAAAGTCTTTGCCTACATCATTCCAAGACAGTCAGACGAAATGATACTTGGGACGCCTTGGTTAAAAGATGTCGACGGAGTTTACGCTGCGAAACGAGGGTATTTAGATATCCATTCGAGAAATGGAGAGCGCATTCGTTGTTGGAACCGTATCGACCCGTCAATCGGTCCAATAAAAGTAAAGAGATTGAAAGTACAGCAATCATCTGCGGGAGAAATCAAAGAACTATTCGATAGCGTTTCGTCGCCGGACCACCTCCGAATAGCCAAAGTGACTATGGACGATATCGACAAGGCGCTGCAACCTAAGAAATTCACCGATCCGAGAGCTAAACTTCCCCCACAATATCTCCCTTGGTTAGATGTTTTTAGCCAGGAGAAAGCAGACAAGCTTCCGAGCCATCGCCCAGGGATCGATCATAAGATACCCTTGACACGCGATGGAAATGGTAACGAATCGACACCACCTTATGGGCCATTATATGGAATGAATAGAGAAGAGCTATTAGTTCTACGAAAAACTCTTACCGATCTACTGGGAAAAGGATTCATACGAGTCAGCAAATCGCCAGCAGCTTCACCGGTGTTATTAGTACGAAAACCTGGTGGAGGCATCCGATTCTGTGTCGATTATAGAGGGTTAAACTCCATAACCATCAAGGACCGTTACCCCCTACCTCTGATTCAAGAAACACTACGAAACATGTCGAAGGCTCGCTGGTTTACCAAACTCGATATCATAGCGGCTTTCCATAAGATCAGAATGCAGGAAGGCGAAGAATGGAAGACAGCGTTTCGAACACGATACGGGCTCTATGAGTGGCTAGTTACACCTTTTGGCCTGACTGGCGCTCCCGCAACCTTCCAACGGTATATCAATGAAGTTCTACGCGAATTTCTCGACGAGTTTGTGTCAGCATATGTGGACGATATCATTATTTACTCCGACGGATCGATCACGGATCATAGACGAAAAGTACGCGAGGTGCTCCAGAAGCTAAGAGATGCTGGACTTCAATGCGATATCGAGAAATCTGAATTTGAACAGAGCTCTGTGAAATACCTAGGGTTCATCATACGAGCTGGAGAAGGTCTATGTGTAGACCCGAAGAAAGTTGAAGCCATTAAGCTATGGGAAGCACCTACTAATATCCGAGAAGTACGTGGTTTTGTTGGATTCGCTAACTTCTACCGGACGTTTATACCACGATTCGCAGATGTCTCTGCACCATTGGTGCAGTTGACAAAGAAAGATACGATATTTAAATGGGACAAGGAGAAACAAGAATCATTCGAGACCCTAAAGGACCTCTTTATCTCTGCACCAATATTGGCTCATTTCCGAGAAGACACCGAAACAATAGTGGAAACAGACGCATCTGGATGGGCGACAGGAGCAGTCTTATCACAAAGACAAGAAGATGGGACACTAAGACCATGCGCCTATCTCTCGCGTAAGTTCTCACCTGCAGAGACCAATTATATGATACACGATAAGGAATTACTCGCTATCATCCATGCGCTACGGGAATGGAAGCCAGAGCTGAAGATGGTCCCGCGATTCGTGGTCTTAACGGACCACAAAAATCTACGATACTTTCATAAGGCGCAGGATCTAAGCGAACGACAAATGAGATGGGCAGACATCCTGGCCGAATTCGACTTTGAGCTACGATATCGACCCGGGAAACAGGCGATCCAACCAGATGCTCTATCCCGGCGAGGACAAGACGAACCTAAAGGAATCTCTGATGAGAGGCTCACGAATCGTTTCCGGAAACTCTTCGAATCAGTAACAATCCGTAACAATAGCACTGAACCAAGTCCACCTTTAGACTTTGATATACTAGTGGCGATGTTTGAAGAAGCAGAAACGCAGGAAGCATGGAATAACGCGCGGAAGGAAGATCAAATATACCAGCAGTTCGCACTCGCACTTGAAAAGGGAGACCGACGAATCCCTGCCGAATCGAACCTGAAAATAAGCCTATCCGAGTGTGACTTAGATGAACGAAATCTTCTACGCTTTAGGAAAAGGACATGGATTCCAGACAACGAACCACTACGCACAACCTTGATCCAGAAGGTCCATGATTCCTACACGACTGGACATCCAGGACGGGACGCAACCTATATAATACTGGCCCGTAGATTCTTTTGGCCAGGAATGACGAACGATGTACGGAGATTCTTAAGGAATTGCACCATTTGCGGACGAAACACGATTTGGAGAGATTCGAAGCAAGGCCTACTTAAACCGTTACCGATTCCACAACGAATCTGGGCCGAACTATCCATGGATTTCATCACAGAACTTCCACCCACTGGGAAAGAAAGAGCGACGAATTGTCTAGTAATTACTGATCGGCTATCTAAAGGAGTGATCCTAATAGATATGCATAGTATTACTGCGGAAAGCGTCGCAGATGTCTTTATGAAGCATATTTATATGCATCATGGTTTACCGATAGCGATCACTAGTGACCGCGGCCCACAGTTCGTAGGGGGGTTCTGGCGAATCGTGTGCGAAAAGCTAAAGATTCGACGCC